TTCCGGGCTGGTGAACACACAGAAGTGCTGGGTGGGTGGTGTGCCCAGAAAGGGCATGGAAGCTCTGCATCTCTCCCCCCATATCTTGCCTTATGTATCTCTTCCATTTGTCTATTCCTGAGTTGTTCCCTTTACAATAAACCAGTGACGTAACTAAAGTGTTTTCCTGAGTTCTGCTAGCTGGTCTAGCAAATTATCAAACTTGAGAAGGGTGTAGTGGGAACACCCAATTTATAGCTGGCCTGTTAAAAAAGTACAGGTGGCCTAGAACTTTCAATACATCTGAAGTAGAGGCAGGGGCATTAAGCCATTAAACTGCAGGGTCTGACACCAAGTCCAGGTAGATAGGGTCAGAATTGAAGTGAATTGTTGGACACCCAGTTGGTGTCGGGAGGATTAGAGAATCACACAGCCCCATGCAAACCTGTAGCCAAAGGCCTCACAGAGACAATCCTGCAGAATCACCCAGACCAGAGGCAGGTGCTCCTTCAGACAGATGTCCAGTGCCTACAGGAAATCAGACTCCTCTCTGAAATACTTGAAACAGAGTAGTTGGTCTACTATAAATGAGGTTTTTAAAATTCAATTCCTTCCTATTGCTCGTGCAGATCTGAAATGATCTGACCAGATGGCTGGTGCTCTATAATTCTTGGATTGCTCTCATCGGTTGTTGATGGTTTGGATTTTTCTTTTCCTTTTTTTTTTTTTTTCTAACCCCCTCACATGAACATGTTCCTGCATGGTCTTCCTGCATGCTACCATCAAGTGGGCTTTGGTGCTAATGCTAATATTTCAGAGGCTCTCACAGCCTCCTCGAAGTCAGCTCAGGTCAGTAAGGAGTCCCAGGTTTGAGCTTCCGTGAGCCACATGGGGGCAATATGCAGCACTGGCTAATGAGCAGGACAAGGGGGTCCTTTGTCCAGCTGCCTTGTCACCTCCACTTCTCCTTCAGGTCCCCCAGGAAAAGGAGGCAGCAAAGATATACAGAGGGTGTCAGAAAAATGTATACACATTTTTAGAAAGGAAAAAACTGTATTAAAATTGTAATACTCAATATATACCGATAACAAAAGATGAATACAAGTCACGTTTGACTTCTACAATTACAAGAGGTGCTCAAAGTGGTTACCATCTGCGTCATTCCTATGTGCCAGGCCCTGTGTGGAACATTTTACACGTTAATCTTGTTGCGGTCTCATCATGTCATCTCTGTGAAGCAGATATTTTCATCCCCATTTTCAGATGAAGAAACAGGTTCAGAGATTCTAATCAAACTGACCAAGACCACATAGCTCAAAGGATAATTAAAGCTGGGGTTGGAGGTTTAGCATCACAAAATTTGACTCTGTTCCACCAAGATCTCAGGAGGAGAGAGAGAAGGCACTCGCTGCCCCACACTCCTTCTTTGTGCCCTCGCCGAGCACAAGACACTTCCACCAGCACATCCAAAACACTTTGGTGCCTTTTTTTTGTCTGTTATCCTCTGTGAGACCATAAGGTGCTGGAAGCAGGGCCATGTCCCTTTTGCTACCCAGAGAAACAGTATGGCACAATGGTCAGGAGCTCAGGCTTAGGGCCAGACAAAGCTAGACTTGAATTCTGACTCTACCACTTATTGGAATCTCCTCTCTGAGATTCAGTTTTGTCTATAAAAATGAGGGCAGTTCTGGCACCTGCCCTCAAAGAATGTCTGGCACAGTGGATGTTCAGTAAATGTGAGCTATTGTCTATATCTCTACCAGTATAGCAGCACCTGGCACAAAATAGGGTCTCAGAAAATGCTCAGGGAGCAGGAGCCCCACCATATAAGGCTGTGACCAGCTTTCTATCATCACGGGTGCACAGGCAGTGTCCTGGGTTTTGGGAGGCCTCAGCCCCAGGGCAAATTCCTGAGTTCCCTGCCCAGGACCCATAGAACCCGCCAGCAAACAGCTTTCCTCTGCTTGCTTGTGAACAGCTGATGCTGAATCCACACTCAAATGCTTGCTGTGCCTCCATAAGGTGAGACAGATCCCAAAATAAACCAGGAGAGAGAGAGAGAGAGAAACAAGAAAATCACTTCCAGGAACAAGCAGCTCACAGTGAGGATGCTGACAGTAGTAACAGAGGCAGGCAGCTGCTCCAGGGCTGAGTGGCTGGGGCCCAATTCCCACCTGGCCTGGGCGGGAGGCCCATGAAGTCATGGGCTGGTCCCCTGGTATTCCAACCCATGACTGGAAATTTGCCTTCAAATGAGCCCAGGCCACGTACCCCAGTATCTCCTTCCTGGAAGCCTGAGGACAACAGAGCTGAGGTCCTCCTTTCAGAGACCTGACGGGGACAGAAGGTACTAAACTGAGGTCAACATAAACTAGCCACTTTGCCACTTTCTGAAGAGTCCCCAAAAGATACATCACCACCTTCTTGTGCCATGTCCCTGACTCTTAGGCAGGAAATGCTGCACTGACCCCTTCTGCTCCCTCATCAAAAATCTCTGTGGGGGAAAGAGGGAGAGCATTTCATGACCATGGAAGTCTCTCTCTCCTTCTCACCAGAAGTTCCCTTCCTCATCTAAGGCCAGAAAGGGCAGGAAGGCGACACACTCAGGCACCCTCACTGGCATCCAATCCCACAGTCAAGTTGAACGGGTGGCACAAATGGAAAATTTACCATTTAAAATTAGAACTGCTGCATGCTAAGTGATGTCTTCATGTCAAGAACCCTAACAGCCTCTGTAGCAGGAAGAACAGGACATTTCCCCCACATCATCAATGGGGAAACTGAAGAGCAGAAGGATTTGGTGACTTGCCCAAGAAGCCCTAAGTAGCTAAGGATTTGAACCCAGAACCAGTTGAGTCTAAAGTCTGTCCTCTTAACCACTAAATTATACTACCTCCCCATTTATATACCCGTCAAAAGTTCCCAGGACTGACTACATTCCTTTAACCTTCAGGTAACTTTGTTGGAAGCTCCCAGGCAGCGTTCAGAATGTGGTGAATTAAATATTACACTCTGATTGAAGGCAAGTGCCAGCTATCCACATAGACCACTGAGAGGTCAATTTTCTACCAACAGACATACCTACAAAACCTTCTCACTATACACACAGAACACCTCAGTCTCATGCCTGGGCCTAAGAGAATCTTGACTGCTTCCACTGGCCTGACTCCCCAGCATCAAACTCAGAATCACCCCACATCAGACACTGAGGCCAGAACAAGCCTCACACCTAACCTCCCTTCACCAGTCCTACTTTGGGGGCAAATAACATTTGAGATGGACAGACACAACTGGAACCAGAGATGCTTTGCCTTCTAAGCTGTGGGGCCTGAGTATCTGTGTTCAACCACAACATGCCAGCCTTTGGGGCAGCTTCAAGGGAATTTGGAGCAGAAGAATTTACAAGAGGCTCTTGGGAAACTAGGAGGCAGAGGGTGATGTCAATGGGGCATCAAGTTAAATGTAAAAATCAGTGTTCCACTCTTAATTCTCCGGGAGGTACTCAGAGCCCTCAGCCTGCCCTTGTCATACATGTGCGGGCTCTCCCTCCCCACGGCTACAGAGAGGAGCTCTTTGTTTAGCCATTAACAGCAGCCCCACTGGCCAGAAGGCAGACAAGGGCCTGGGTCAGAACTTTCCGGCTTATTCTGCACTGCAGACCAGGGCCTTAAAGGGTGCCACAGGAACAGAGAGGATATGAGGGCAGCCAGCGACATCGACCTCCATCTGCTCCGGCACTTGCCTGGTTTAAAATAGTATAAGTACCTTTAACCACATCAAACCAGTGGATACAGCCCACATTTTCTACTCCCCACCCGAGAACTCCTCTAGTTTTAGTCCTCAAGGACCAGGGGGCTCCATTCTCAGGGAACCCAGGGGAGGGGAGCCAGAGGTGGGATCTGCTGAAGCCAGCACCTCTGTTCCGAAAACCTCCCTCTACCCAACACCATTAGCTCCTACTTCCTTGGTGCTTCATCACTCCTCTGTGGCAGCAACTACCCGTATGCAAGCCCAGCAGGAGTGATATTACTACCAGATAGTTGGCTGGCACAGCAAACGCGGCCCCTGCCAGCACAGCAGCAATAGGGGCAGTGAAGACAGTATCGGCAAGGAGCTAAGGAAACTGCACTGTGGCAGCTGCCAGGGCCTGCCATCCACCTTGCCACCCGCCTTGGCACAGTGTAGAACACAAACGCCTACTCCTGAGGACAGGCCCAAGTGTCACCATAGTGGGGCTCCGGCCAAGGATAGCTGGGACTAGAAGGTCAAGGGGGAGAAAGGTAGGTCCAGGATCTGAGGTCAATGACACAGAACAAGTTAGCTGAAGGACAGAGGTCAAGTTATGTAACCTCTCTGCCCCTCAATGTGTTCATAGGAAAATAAAGATAGTAACAGTTCCTATCATTGTGAAAATGGAACAAGATTATGCACGTGAAGTACCTAACACAGTACCTGATATGGTAAATACCACAACTATGGGCTACTTTCATTATTATTTTAAGCCTTGGTCCCAGGCTCATAAAAGGGTTATAAAGTTATTCCTTCTGAGGATGCCCCATTTAAAAACCAGGCCAGGACCAGCCCCTATTTCTCGGCACAGGTTCTTTTAGCGAAAGAACACTCCTGCCCCGCACCAGTACTCAGGACTCTCCTGTGAACAATATTTCAGCAGCACTGAGCCACGCAGAAGAGCCCAAAATAGCACTTGCAGAGCGAGGCACATGTCATTGCCTCTCCTGTGCTTCAGAAGTGCAAGGAGAGAAAGTTTTCAATCACTTGCTCAGAAAGCTTGGCCACCCACCACCTGCCTTCCTTCCAGGGAACTCAGACACTGCAATCTCTGTTCTGTTGGAAAATGGAGGTCCCTGAACCCTGCAGCAGCAGCCACCACTCTGATGGACCACACTGTTCCCCTCCAGCAGGCCAAAGGGTGGCTGCCCTTCAAAGTAGCCCTGTGGGGACAAAGGACATGCAATCTGAATTCAGGGTGTGTTTCATAGGGACAGGGCGGAGCTTGTTACCTGGCTGGAGGGCCTGCCACTCATGGGTCGGGTGAAACACCTCCAGAATCTCAGAGTCCAGCTCCTCCTCTGCTGCCGTTTCCTTTCTCTCTGTGTCTTTGGTGCTGCTCTTCGCTGGGTTGGTCAGCGCAAACTCCTTCAGAGAAAAGGAAACACAGGGCATGACCCAGCACAGCTAAATACCAGCAAACAGAAAGAAAATGGCCTGGGGTGGTACTCTGTCCCCTCCATGCTCCTCCTCCCCTCCCCAGCCATGTTTGGACCTGTCACAAAGTTAGCCTCAGAACCAGTATGAGTGAGGCAATGCAGTTAAATGAACACAGCGTATGTTGTGTGTATATGGCACTGTGGTATATGCATAAGGAAAAAGTGCACAACGTTCCATACTATCTCCAGGGAGTTAAGGAAACATACTAGAGAAAGAGGTTGCCAAAGGAGACAATAACTTTTGATATGTTACAATATTGTTTGATGTTTAAAACTCATACCTATTACTCTTACAATTAAAAAGATTTCTAAAAGAAAAAACATATATGAACAGGAGAATAAGGCCTCAAATGGCCACCCCAGATGTACAAAAGCTAGCAGCTGAGCCCCAAATGATTCCTAAGCAGCCTAGCAGGGCACAGTAAGGTCCTGGCAATTCCCCAGGGCACCTAGGGGGCATAAATGACCACTTAGGACATTCCAGTCTATGGAGAAAGGCGTGGAAGTGGCAAGCTGGGAGTCCAGTGGGGCTGAGGAAGGAAGAAGCCCAGGTGGGAAACCTCTTCTTAAAACCTGTTTCCTTCCACCCCATGGAGAGCATGAAGGATTAATGAGATAGTGTGTGTGGATCACTTTGAGCTCAGGAGACAGAGATACAAGATAAATACAAAGTATTATTCATTTTGCTCCTCCTCAGCCTCCCATCCTTCTGTCCCATTTTTAAATCTGCTCTTGCATAAACACAGTAAGGTCTCAGGAAATTGGAACCAGAGGGTTCCAGAGCTCTGGCAAATTACATTTAGGGGGGCAAGAAGGAACCTACACTAGCACACTAGGAGGTTATGTCAGCCCTCCCACCTCCCCACCATCACTTTTCCTCCACCTCCCCTAATAATAGTGAGTATATTCCATGGATCCCTCTTAGGAACACAAACCTGTGCTAGGCACTTTGCATAGATCTCATTTTGGTTCCCAACAATTCTAACTGCATGGGAGGTAACAATGCTCCTCTTTCAGCAGTGCCCCAGCTCCAGACTGGTACCCCCACCTGCCTGCGTCCCTCAGGGTCTGATCTTTCATTAGCTGTGGGAGGAAAGGCTAAGATGTTAAGGTGTTGGCGGTAACAATGTAAAGCTCCTCCAAGGATTTATACATTTTAACAAGAAATAAAGGCATGAAAATGTAATGGCAGGATTTCAGATCTTGTTAAGGACCAGTCAGGAAAATGTCTTGAGCAAGAAGAGGCCCTCAAATCATGTCACAAATAATGAGAGGCATTGACTATATAGCATAATAGTAAAGAACTCAAGCTCTGCATCAGATAACCTAAAGTTCAAATCCCAGTTTCTTGTGACTCCGGGAAAGTTACTTAACTTTCCAAGCCTCAGTTTCCACATTTGTAGAGATAACAACATCTAACTCATATATTAGATGAAATACTACCTTGTAAACCACTAGCTCTGTGCACACGGTAGCTGTCCCTCTTGTAGAGGCAGCCATGGGTTCCAGGTTAGATGAGTCTGTCCTGTGACATTCAACAGAGACTACACAACATGGCGTTGTTTTGCCAGGTTTGGGTTGTGGTCACCTGTGCAGAATGGCCCCCTCAAACCTCTCCTACCTCTTCAACCTGAAGCTTGCACAAATCTGAGCTAAAAACAAAACAAAACAAAAAAACTAGGAACAGAAGAGAAGATGTGCTTGTAAGGCTAAAGAGCAGACAGACTGGCAGGAGGCACCTACAATCGAGGGCACGGGCATCACACTTCCACCAGCCGATTTTCTAAGGACAGGCTCTGTGTCAGTCTCTCTCACCACTGTATTCCCCATGCCTAGCACAAGGCTTAGTTTGTAATCACAGAACAAAGGAAGGAAGGAGTGCCCCCTCCCACAGACAGGTATGTCTTTTGGAAGCCTTGGACTGAGGAAAGCCCCCAGTAGCTGAGTCTGCTGGAAGCCAGGTACTAACCATTCCAGAACAAAGACCGACATGTCCACTAAGTACCAGGGGTCTGTGTACCCCGGGGCTCAGCCATGATGGTCAGCCTCTGCCTGAAGCACCATATACTAGACTGTGAGGCTAGAAGAACGTTAGTAAAATTTGCCTCAGAGGTGTGTGGGTCAAATGCATCCCCGGGCCAGGCAGGGATGGGTGTACATGAGTGTGGTGGGCCACATGTAAAGCAACAGGGAGTGGTGGGACTGCGAAGACTGCAGCCCTCCTACCTCGACTAAGGAACACAGCTGCTACTCAGCTGGGCCACCACTGTCATGAAGGCCTTCAACTTGAAAACAGAAAACCAGATTTTTATTTTTAGAACACTAAGAGGGCCAAAATAAACATCTATAAGCTTTAAATTGCAACTCTTACTTTAGCATATCTATTAGCCAGGTAACTCCTGGCAGGTGTGGCTATAAGCAAGCAACCAAATTCTCATCATCAAGAGAAGAGCAGAAAGAGGCAAGGGGAATGGTGATGATGAAAATATGGCAGAAAGCTCTTCAAAATCTAGGCAGGGATAGTGCTCATTCTGATGACTAGGGGCTGGGAAAGCCTCTTTTTCTAGATTTCTCTCACAAGGTTAACAGAGTAGGTTTAAGAGATAAGATTAGGGCCAGCCGAGTGGCTCAGTTGGTTAAGAGCAACAGCGGTTTGAGTCCCGGCCCAAAGCTGAGCTGCCAACAGGTGGCGGGATGGCTCAGCTAAAAAAATAAAATAAAATAAATAAGAGGTAAGATTAGAAGGAGGCTAATGAACCACCGAGCCACATGCTTCTAGCCCTAAGAAGGCCAAACACTTCTGCAACAATCCTGTCACTGCTCACAATGTTTTATGAGCTTCCTCTGGTTATCACCTTTGAACCAGATGTTAACACACACTCACACAGTCTGTCATTATTTTATAGCATACCTCAGTTTTTAGTGGGGGAGATACAAAATTGGTGCTCCCCTGTCTGACCAGCTCACCCTGGTTCACCGAATCTGGCTCCAAGTGACCGGGCTTTTTGCCCAAATCACAGCTGGCAAGCACTGAGGGCGGTTCAGTCATATGATCATACTGTAAGTTAGACAGTCAGTTCAAAAGAGAAATTCCATAAAAGGTTTGGAGGAAAAGCCACATCATGGGGATGAGGTTGTAATGACAATAGCAGCTGCCATTTACTAAGCCCTTGCTATATGCCCAGCACTGGGCTACAGCGCCTTCCGAAACTCACAACTCATGCACGTTTCATCTGTGTAGCACATACGTTTACTCCCATTTTACAGCAGGGGATGCATACGGGGCCTGTGCAAAATCACACTGGTGGGAAACGCAGAGCAGAGATTGAAGTCCAGGCCTGCCTGATTCCAAAGCTCATTGTGTTTCTGTTCTTAGTCATGTGTCCTAATGGTTGTGCCCTGGATACTGAAAGAATGAAGCAAGGGCAATGAGATCATCTTAGCACCTCTATCGGCATGGCCCCCTTCCCAAGCGAAGGCTTTCATGGACCAGATGAGAAACCACAGTCCCAAATAAAGGACAAGCCAAGACTAGCCCTCTGTGCCTGGGCAGTGTCCTGAACAGGAGAGAAGGCCAAGAGGTGAGAGAGGCTGGCCAGCCCTTGGTCACTTGTGGAGTAAATCCCATGCTTCGGTGCCCTCTCCACTGGCTTCTCAGGGCTCCCTTCTAAGCTGAATCCTCAGCACTCTCTTCTCCCTGCCACCCATTTCCTCTCAACTGACTGGCAAGAAATCCCAGCTAAGGTGTTAGCTGACAACAGCTTACCATGTCACACTTCCTTGTGCTTGTATCTGAATAAGAGATTCTTAAAGATCAAAGCTTTCAAGATCCAAGAGAATGAATGAATCTCTAATGGTAGGTTGATAGACGATGTGACAGAGACAGACTGCAGGGGCAACATTTTGGGATAGGAGCGTGCCTGACTGAGCCCTAAATTAGACCCTAGAAGCAGCCGCCCCCTTACTAAAAATAACAGCTGACATTTATTGACCATCATTGACCTTATTGTGCCAATCCCAATGCTAGGAGCTACAGATCTATAATCACATTGAATCTACACTAAAATCTTAAGAGGGAGGAACCAATCCTATTTTAAAGACAAGGAAAGAAAGCTCAGAAATGGTAAAAATGCCAAAGTAGGTGGGAAAACGGTATTTACCAAAGGTCTGTGCTCCTTCCACTGGATTCTACCACCTCCCTCGTTAATCACTGCGTTTTTGTTTGTTTGTTTTTTAAAGATTTTATTGGGGAATTGGGGGAGGGAACAGTGCTGGGGAATTGGGGAAGGGGAACAGACAAGTTGCCATCGTTTTGTTCTTCAGTCTAGTTGTGGAGGATGTTGCTTCACTGGCCCATGTTGGTATTATCATTGCGCTCTTCCCGGGTGAGGCAGATCGGTCGCTGGCCTCTGGACAGCCGCTCACAGCGGCTGCCAGCCACACTCGGTAGCTTATGGCAGCCCACTGCAGCAGGGACTGCAGCCTATGCCGTCGCCGGCAACTCATGGCAGCCCAGTTCCAGGTCGAGCTGTTGTTCACCACATTAGCTGTAGAGGGCAGTGTCACTGGCCCCCATGTGGGATCTGAACCAGGGCCCTGCTGCTCAGAGCTGGCGTCCTAAGCCAACTCTTAACCAATGTGCCACTTGGCCGGCCCCAATCACTGCGTCTTTGAAGGCCAGTATACCACACAACCAAATCACTTCTGCATCCACACTGCTCCTAAGACATGGCACCCCAGGGAGGTGCCACAGCAAGAGCCAGAAAGGAAAGATGGCTCCAGATCGTACCCTGATACACACAGCCAACCTTTCCTGGGTGGCCATTAACCAGCACAAAGGCCCTCTGGGAGGATGATTCCAGGTCTCTAGGAGCACTTGCCTGGACCCTGGGCTCTGAAGAAAGGATCATAACCACCACCACCTCCCCCACCAGCCATTTTCACTGTTGTGAAGGTGGCTGGCTGCATAATTTGGATTTTAAATGCCATCAGGGCAGCGATTTTTATGGTATGAGAGAAAAGATGCTTCAACTCCTACTTGTGCTTAGCACATGATGAAAGATTATGACAAATGGATACAGCTTAGGAACAGACATAAGGATAAAAGCAGCTTCTGTTGATGAAAGTCAGTATTAACATTTTTCTGAGACTAGACTCAATGGAGCTAATATAAATGGGCCAGAATAATTATGACTCTGAAAGCTCATCTATTTGGCTGGACTATTATCCAAAAGGGACTTACTAACACACAGTCCTTAAGTAAATTCATCAGCACGCTTTTGTTAATTGTGCATCTGCTAAAACTCATGATGGGGAGCCCCCGGATCCTCATGAGCTGCAGGTTGCGGGGAAAACAGCCCTGGTCCCTTGAGACACTTGGGTGCTTCTCTGGGCCAGGCTATGCCAAAGACAGCCCCAACCTTCATGCTGTGGCCAGTCCCACCCTTAGGGGCCAGTGGGCTCTTATTCGCATTGTCCTTGAAGAAGAGGCCAAAAAACCCGCACCAACAAGATATTAGTCAGAGAACACTAAAAGTTCAAAAGGATTCATGACTCTTAACTGTACATTCTCTCCTGCTCCACAAAATGGGGGGAAAGGCAAAGAGGAAAACAAATGACTTCAGAGAGAAGGTGGAAGTTTGCCATGAGCCAGAGGTGAACCTCAGCTGAGCTGGATTGTTATTAAATTCATCACAATTGTCATTTGCATTTCAAGGCTCTCCTGCTCCAAAGCCTCCAGCACTTTAGCCAACATTTAGTGGGAGCCCCTGGGGTTGGGGAAAGTGGCCAGGGGAGGGTAAAGCTGTCAAAGCTGACAGTCAAGGCTCCTCAAGGGACAGTAGCGAGAGGGCACTGGGAGCTGGTCAAGGGCAGACTGTTGCTGGGCAGGCCAAGGAAACAGGGCCAGGAGCCTTAGCATGTTGCAGCCAGGCCAAGCACGGGACCTTCTAGGGCAGCGGTTCTCAACCTTTCACAGGGGGTGCCTAAGACCATCGGAAAACAAATATTTTTCGATGGTCTTAGGAACTGAGACACTGCTCTTCTATCTGTCTCCAGGCCCACATGCAGATACACCCACATACGAGTACCCGGCGACCCCTGTGAAAGGGTAGTTCGACCCCCAAAGGGGTCGCGACCCACAGGTTGAGAACCGCTGTTCTAGGGCATTCTGCTCCTGCTGTGCAATGACAGAAATCCTAAGCAATGAAGTCTAGGTTAAAGCAGAGAGGCCTGGAAAGAACAGGGAGAAAAGGACAGAGGGAAAGGGGATACAGAGAGATGGACAGACTGAGAAAGCACAAGGAAGAGAGGAGCAGAGGAAGAAACAGTCCTACTTGATGCTCACCACACAGGCAGCCAGCTCCTGGGGAGAATCCTGACTCTCCCAGCTCTGCCACAAGCTGGCTGCATGATTTGGGCCAACTTACTTAATCTCTCTGAGCCTTAGTCTCTTCCTTCTCAAAATGAGGATAACAATTGTAGCTGTCTACTTCATAGTGTTGTAGAGGGAACTAAATAAAGTACATATAAAGCACTTAATAACAATGTTTAGTACATGGCAAGCTTATTATTATTAAATAATAATATCATTATCATCATCATACTTTCCCCAAAAAGAAACTGCACCATGAGCTTTAAACAGAGGCCAGAGGTTTCAGGGATAGAGGGGAAGTACACAAGACTCTGTGACCGAGCACTGGCCACATCCCTGTAAGAAAAATACCGGTAAAAGCTCACCCTACCCCCACAGCAGCCCTGGTGGACCCAACAGGGATCCGTCTACTTGTGATAAAGATACTTACTGGGTTCTGATGACTGAGGCAGGTGAAGCAGGAGACCACCAGCAGCCCAAGCAGCATGCCTAGGGGATCCATCCTAGATAGGGGCAGGCCCTAGGGAGGCACAGGGAGACCTAACGAACGTAAACACAGAAAACAGAAGGTCAGCAGGAAGCTGGTGCCTGATCCCCCAGCACTGTGATTCCCACCACGCCACTTGTTCAATGGATGTCAGACATTTCCCACATGGAGGTATCACAGGTCTTCTCCCACAGGGGCAGATCAATCTGAAGTAAGCCTCCATCTCCCATAAGGAGTCCAGCCAGCCAAGGGGGAGATATGCCTTTGTTGGAACTGAATCAACCAGGACTCCTCCATGAGCTATAACAGCCCTGGTCCCCTCCTTCCTCATGATCAACTTGTTACCAAGTTACGCAGAGTGGTATTAGCTATGGTACAGAGAAAGGAAACTAACCAATTGATTTGTGTTTGGACAGACATGGGTCCAAATCTGCATGAGCTTTTATAACCATTCACTTCTAAACCATACCTACTGTTATATCTGAAGACAGATGCCATTAGCATCCCCTAAACCAGGGAAGTTCAATATTCCCAAGCCACGAGCCTTTCACATCACTTTTCAAACAGCCAAAGAAACCAAAATACAGGCCCTAGTAGCCATTAAAATTAAAATGATGGATGAAAGGCTATCCCATGTTCATGGATTAGAGTTAATATCAAGATGTCAATACTACCAAAGCAATATGCAGACTCAATGCAATCCCTATCAAATCCCAATGACTGTTCTTTGTGGGGTATTTTTTACAGAAATAAAGAAGCCTATCCTAAAATACGTCTTGAATTTCAAGGGACCAGAGCAGCCAAAAAAAGTCTTGAGAAAGGACCAAGTTGGAGGACTGTACTTTCTGATTTTAAAACTTACTACAAAGCTAGAGTAATCAAAACAGTGTGGTACTGGCATAAAGACAGACATATAGACCAATGGAATAGAATTCAGAGCTCAAAAATAATCACATATATGGATCAATTATTTTCAACAAGGGTGCCAAGGCTATTCAATGAGGAAAGAACAGTCTCCCCAACAAACTGTTCTGGGACAACTGGATATCCACATACAAGAATGAAGTGGACCCTTCCCTTACATGATATGCAAAAAAGTAACTCAAAATGGATCAAAGACCTAAATTTAAGAGCTAAAACTCTTAGAAGAAAACATAGGGGGAATCTTAATAACCTTGGATTTAGCAATAGTTTCTTAACTATGACAACAAAAGCATAGGCAATAAAAGAAAAAGACAAATTGAACTCCATCACAATTTAAAAACTTTTGCATGTCAAAAGATAATATCATGAAAATGAAAAGACAACCCACAAAATGGGAGAAAATATTTACAAGTCACATATCTGATAAGGGTTTAATATCCAGAATATATAAACAACTCCAACAGCTCAACACCAAAAAGACAAGCAACCCAAATTAAAAACGGACAAAGGACTTTCTCCAAAATGATACACAATGCCAATAGGGATGTGAAAAGATTCTCAACATCATTAATCATTAAAGAAATGTAAATCAAAGCCACAATGAGTTAATGCTTTAAATCTGCTACAATGACTATAATTAAACAAACAACAGAGAATAACAAATGTTAACAAGGATACAGAAAAACTGGGACCCTCATACATTGCTGGTGGGAATATAAAATGGTGCAGCTGCTGTGGGACAGTTTGGTGGTTCCTCAAAAAGCTAAACACAGAATTACCATATGATCCAGCAATTACACTCATAGGTATATATTCCACCCAAAAAAATCTGAAAACAGTGACTCAAACAGATATTTAAGTACATGTGAATGTTCATAGCAGCATTATTCACAATAGCCAAAAGGTGGAAATAACGCAAATGTTCATCAACAGATTAATGTATTTTTTAATGTGGTATATACATACAACGGAATATTATACAGCCATAAAAAGAATGAAATGCTGATACATGCTTCAACACAAATGAACCTTGGAAACATTATGCCAAGTTAAATAAGCTAGACATAAAAGGACAAATATTGTATGACTGTACTTAAATGAAATGTGTAGAATAGACAAATTCAGAGAGACAGAAATTAGATTACAGGTTACCAAGGGAGTTACTAGGTACAGAGCTTCTGTTTGGGGTGGTGAAAAAACTTTGGTCAGTAAACCAGAGCAGAAGTCAAGAGAACTTAGTAGAAATTGGCGAATGATATAGGAAAGACAGGCAAAAAGGAAAACAAAATAAATGACCACCCTCCCCGCCCCCCCAAAAAAAGCCTTAGAAAAATTGAAAACATGTCAGTATTAGCCCAGACCTTTATAAAGGTTTGTGTGTTGATCACTCAGCCCCAATACACCTCATTAGGCAATTTACTCAACAGAGGCTTAGCTGAATTAATTATGAGGGAACCTTTCTTAAGAGCATGGAGTTTACCTTTTCTCTTTCCTGTTCCTGCCATACTCCTTCCATGTTCTACCTCAAGAGATTGCTCCTGTGACATGATGGTAGTGGGACGGAAAGCCTTGCTTAAACCCATTCTCAGCAGTTACTACCCTCTTGCCCAGCCCACACCTTCTCTCAGGGCAGACAGAAACTTTCCCTAAGGACATCTGGAAACACGAAGAAAAACAGCCCTGCTGGACCAGCACTGTGCTAAAAAAGCACAGCCAAATGGAAAAGCAAAAGCTTGGGTGCTATAAATAGCTGCTATACTCACCCAGCAGCAAAAGCCTTTGCTTTCTGCCAGCTTCTCCCCTCTTTTTCTTGTCGACAAAATGGAGCGGCTGAGTGCCACGGCTGAGTGCCACATGAGCTTCCCCCAGCAACCTGGCTCCCTGGGGCACCAACCACACTGAAAAACAGGTAGTGAGTTCACAGCACAGCACTAGGTTCTGGACAGGTGCCTGGCCATGCCCGGCTGGGGGGGGGGGGGTTGGAGGGCCAGGCTGGGTGAGGATGAACAAGGGGCAGAGGCTGCCACATCAGGAGTGAGAAGGCTGGAAAGGGAGATGGGTCCCAAAATGCCTTTCTTATCCCTACAGCCTTGGCTGTGGGGAAAAGGGGAATAAAAAACCAAAATGGGGGACCCAGCATTATCAGGGCAACACACAATCAATGAGAACAAAGATGATCCCCAAAAGTCACAGATTTCCCTTCCCCTACATGAGAGTATTCATGTGTATATGCATGTACACACACACAGGGTTAGATGCTCCCTTCTGCCAGCCAGGGATAAACACTGGAACTGGTGCTGGAGAAAAAGATGAAGAGGAAGAGATAAATGAGAATGAAGAAGTCAAGGGCAAAGAAGACATATGAACAGGAGAAGGCGGCCCAAAAGGGACGGAGGAAGACGAGGCCAGGGCAGCTGAGGCACAAACAGCAGCCTCCCCACCTCCTGGAGTGGGAAGGGGGGAGGGAGGGACGGCGAGAGAAATGGCAGCTCCCACAGGGCTTCCAGCGCCACCATCTCCTGCACAAACATTAATGCCTTCAGAAGCATTTTCTGCCAATACAAAGGAGGAGAGATCAATTCACAAATGGATCCTTCATCTCTCCCCCATAATTCTACATAGCCTGCACACCTGACCAATTCACTGCCTCCATTTATTTTTTCCATGAAACAGGGAGAGAGAGAACATGGAGGGCTGGGAGGTGCATAGGGAGAGACCTAGGAGAAGTGAGGCTAGGAGAAAGGCATGAAACAGTTTTCCAAGCTTTGCAAGGCTATTCAGAGGACAAGTGCAAGCAGGCATGGCAGTGGTGTCCTCTTCAGGCCTGGCCTGCAGCCATGTCATCTAGTTTGGTTCTTATTCAAGATGTAGGGGTTGGAGAGCAAGTAGGCATAGTTTTCCCTGGGCTTTATGCTGAAGCTGGGGGAAAGAGGAAAAAAAGGAAGTGGCACACAGTTATGTTCTGCTAGGATGGCCCACCATCCCAAGCAGGGACCCAGGCAGCAGCAGCAGCAGCAGCAAAAGAAAACCTCAGACCCTGACATGAGTAAAGCCAAAGTCATGCCATCCCATTGAGACACAGTTTGGCACGCTCGGCCTGAGGTGAGTGCCCTCCCCAAACCACTCGCCACCCACAAACCCTGGGTTCTCCACATCCTACAGAACAAATCTTCCCATCATTCTCGGCTCTCAATGGAGGACAGACCTAGATCTTTATATTTAAGGCCTTCTTATGATTTAAAATACCATCACTCAGTCCAGGAAAGGGGAACTTAGTTCAGTGTTCCACCAGTAACTCTTTCCTTAAGTATCCTGGGCTTTGGGACAAAAGAAATAATAAGGTAGTTGAGATGCTCATTTTTCTATCAAAACTGGCCATCTGTAGGCTGTACTTCTACTTAAATAGAGGCTGGAGGCCCTCAGCAATCTGTATGGCCAGCTTACTGCAGCCTGGAGAAGATGCTTGGGACGCAGGTGAAAAGAGGCCCTTGGACTTGTTAGCCTGGTGTCCCTTGGCACCTCATGTCCTTCACTCAGTTCAGACAGGACTGGGGGTGGGTAATGGGTCCTGTGCGAGTAAGGCATCCTCCCATAACTTCTGTCTTCTCTTAAAGCAGGAAAGGATGGCAGAAAGCCAACAAAGTAAGGAGGACTGGGACTGCTGGATCTCTGGAAGCTTCTGACATGGCTGGCAGGCCCCATGGACAGTGGCTGATCCCCAATCGCTGGGGACACAGCACAGGGATATCAGGAAAAGGTCACAAGTGTCCTCAGCAGGTAGAGCCACCTCAGCAGCCTGCGTGGGAGCACTTGGAACTCCAGCTTATAAAATGCTCACATTCTTAATCTACAGTGTATATCCATGTATTTGCTTCCCCAATTCTTTAGGAAATAGTAAAAGGGCAAGAATTCCTACCTTCATCTTATAAGGAGGAAATTGAAGCAAAGAGATAAAAATATTGGGTAGAAAATATAGTACATGAATTAAGAGTCAGACAGCCCTAAGGCCAATTCTTGGCTCTCTCTGCCAATTCCTAGCTATGTGATCTTGAACACCACCTTCACTAGCCCTCAGTTTCTTCACTTAAAAATGGGCATAATAAGAATTCCTACTTCAAAGAGGATTCAATAAAACAATGCATAGAAACTGCTTGGTACGGCACTTGGCACCTAGTTATCATGTCATTATTAGAGCAGACATGATGACTTTCCCTTGGACCCACCGACAGTCAAGGCCAGGCATCCTGGAACAACTCTCCAGAGCTCCTGCCTCCTATAGAATCTGCATGCCCTCTAGCTGACCCTACACCTCAAACGTTAAGACCAAAGCCTTTTTTTGGGTGTCTACTCCCAGGAGGTGAAGGAAACAGATATTAGAGAAAAAACCCACAGATGAAAATGGAGAGCCCCAAGCCAACTTTCTGCTGAGCCCCAAGGCAGACCCAGCCTGAGCACTCAGTGCTTTCCCGGCATACTCATACTAGTGTCCAGAGAGCCAGGCCACCATCATGTAAAACTACCAGCTGCAGCAACAACTGTAAAATAATCTTCTGCTTTACAAACTGAAGGTTAGAGAATGAGCTCTTCCCAGACACACATTCATTACTATTTATGGGCTGCACAAACTCATACACACACACACACACACACACACACACACACACACACACACACAGTCACTCACCTCTATACAAACAGAAGATCACTGCCTAATTTGAGCAGATAAATACGAAGCTGAAGAAACAATGCAAAGAGGACACTGAAAGGACAGCCCTGACAAGAAAGAACAATGTACAAAGGCTTAGGAAAACAGATTTTTAAAGAATAATTTGAAGGACAAGAGAAATAAGTTTGGAGTAGTCAGGCAAACAAGCTTCTTCCCCCTAAGACTTAAACTAAACAGAAAGTCAGGAAGTAGACAGCAATTACTAAGTGAAAAGAGCCTTTGAACAGTAAAAGAAATGTGGTTTCTAACCCACCCAGCCCCTAAGTGGCTGAGAGGCTAGACTCAGAGCATCCTTAGACACTGACCATTTACGTAATGGGAACAGGGTCTGCCCCGAACACTGAAGTCATGCCTAGGGCCAAGCAAATGGGGACTGCTCGCAATAAACCCAAGGCATCCAAGAAGTAATCGGAGGAGGCTGTTAGAGGGTAGAAGGTTCACAACAAACCCAAGCCTCTACCTGACCAAGGAGCTACAAAACCAAAACCCACTTGTGCAGCCTGTAAGGGAGAGCCCAAAAGAGGCCTTTTCAGTGGCAACACAGGGACAAGAGACCACATGGAGCCAAGAAGGGCTCCACAGGTCCAGCTAGGACCAGAGCCTTAGAAGGAGGGCAACATGGGGTGGGATAAGACAGGAAGGTAGCAGGGCCGGCCGAGTGGCACGATGGTTAAGAACTGGCTTGGGACGCCAGAGGGCCCCAGTTCGGATCCCACCTATGAGGGCCAGTGACACTGCCCTCCACAGCTAAGATGCTGAACAACAGCTCAACCTGGAGCTGGGCTGCCATGAGTCGCCGGCGACGGCGTAGGCTGCAGCCCCTGTGGCAGTGGGTTGCCAAAGGCTATCGTATGTAGCCAGCAGCCAGCGTGAGCAGCCAGCAGCCGCAGTGAGTGGCCATCCAGAAGCCGGCGACTGATCTGCCTCGCCCGGGAAGGGCGCAATGATGGTGCCAACTTGGGCCAGTGAAGCAACGTCCTCCAAAACTAGATAGACTGAAGAACAAAATGACAGCAACTTGTCTGTTCCCCTTCCCCCAATTCCCCAGCACTGTTCCCATCCCCCCAATTACCCAATAAAAATCTTTAAAAAAAAAAAAAAGACAGGAAGGTAGCAGTCCTGACCCCTTCTCAATACTCTGTACTCCAAAAGGTGGGGGACATGATCAATCTTATCCCTACCCTAGTAGGGAAGAGAACAGACCTTCAAGAACGTAGCTAAGCATATTAGCAAAAACTGCAATCTCAGAGACAAAAGGCAGTTGCTTCATTTAAAAGAAATCAAGTGACAAGCAGAGTGATTGAATAAAAGTGAGCCCAGCCTAGCCCTCTCCAGACCTATCCTACTCAGCCACAGCCTTCAAAGAATCTGAATGCTGGAAAGGAGCCTAAAACTCAATCTTCATTTGGACTGCTAAAGATCCAAAAGACACAACAGGCACTCAATATCTATCTACATATAGAATAAACAGGGTTCAATGCTTTTATGCACAGAGCTTGTCAGTGGATTCAGGAAGGCTCTGGCAACTTCATAACTGTTGAAGACAAAGAGGCAGAGAGGGCTAGTGCAGGACAAGAATTTTGGTGCCATCAGCACAGAGGTAATAGCTGAAGCAACAGGAATAAAATTCCTGTCTTAGAAAGGAACCTTAGAGAGAAAGAAACAATGGGCCAAGAATAGTCTTAAAGTCATGGCTGGAGGTTAGGAATGGAAAGAGGAACAAGCAAGGGAACCAGACAAGGAGCAACAAGAATCGTGCAGAATTACACAGGTCAAGAGAGGAGAGGATCCTGAGAAAATCAAGCTATGGGCAACAATGTCAAGGCATCACTCAGAATAAGAACGAGAAAACCCTGGATTTGGCCATGAGGCAGCCAGAGGGCCTTCAAAAGAGGGCACGCGTGTGAAAAAACAGGGGCCTGAGGGTAGAGCACTTTGAAAGGTTGAGTGGGTCCACCGAAGTTTAGAGACTTGGAGCTCCTTCTCTAAATCCAATTTTTTCAACATTTTCACTAGATTCTTAGTAATAGCAGAAAAGAACTGACTCAAGTGGCCCTATCAAGGGATTCTCTGATGCCATACAATAGGTTGCTATAATGGTGTAGAGCTATCCCTCAACACACACACACACACACACACACATCCTCAGGCTAGAGATGGGTACAGTCACAG